TTAGTTAGTATTAGTTATATTATTTATATTGTGTATACACACACACATAATAATATATATATATATATATATATATATATATATATATATATATATATATATTGGTATGTATGTTTCTATGTCTGTATGTATATGTGTAAGTACATATGTAGTATATATATATGTATGTATATATGAATGTATATAAAAATTATCAATATTATAAATATATATATATATATAGAAATATATTTATATATATAAATATATTTCTATCTATGTATATATATTTGTATATGTATATGAATATATTTGTATTGTATATGTATATTTTATATATACATATAGTCTTTGTAAATTTGATTCAGCTAGAATATAATACAATGCTTACATATACAGTTTCCATATGTTCATTATTACATCTTTTTCTGGTTCATATTCAATATGTACCAGGCATACCCAGTTTTATAGCACATCAACACATAGTGTTGTGATTCTTTTATTTATCTCATATATACGTGAGTGCGTTTAAGCTAGAATGTTCCCATGTTCATTTTTTTTCTCAATACTCTTGTCAGGCGTACGATCAGCATCTGAACATGATTCTCGGAGAAGTCGAAGAGACCATCACGTCCGTTGAGATTGATGACGAGACCCTTGAAGAAATGATTAGAGTATGTCAGCACGTTTTCATTGTAATTACACTTTTTTTGTTGCAAGATCTATGCCGCCTGTCGATTGGTTCACCTGTAAGTGGATCAATCCACCTTGATTGCTATTGCGCATCACCTTCTACGCCTATCAATTTTAGTGTATCGACAATCGTACATATGCTAACGTTTTTCTAATACACGTATTTTTGTCATGATTTTCCGTGGCGTCAACGATACTTTGCCCATAGCTGTTTCATTGGGAACAGGCTTCTTGCCGTATTGAAGTTGTGACTATAGTTCTGGGGTACAAAATATCACGATACTCTTATATGCCTTGTAAATGTGCAAATTGTGAAACCTGCTGCTAAATTTTAGGCACTTGCTTTACTACAGACAACGAAACGACAAGTACCCCTTTTGTTCATTAGGGGCGATGGTGTAATCCTGGTGTCACCCCCTGCTCGGGCAGGATGGTAGATCTTCTGCCGTTAACAGTAACTTGCGTAGATATACATTCTGCTATGTGGACAGTATACAAGTCTTTGACACAGATACTGCCGTGATAGTGAATAGCCTATCAATAAGAATTGGTAGCTTGTGGGATATTTGGAGCTACATCTGTGCTGAGAGTGCGAATCTATAGTATCAACAGGAAAGTTGAATGGGTCACGCCGGTGTGCAGTAGTGTACCGAGGCGGAACTATAAAAAATGCATTTGCATTTGGTTGTTCTTCATCTGTGTATCATCTTGACTTCGACTCCAAAAGGTGTCAATATAGAATATCGACGGATAGTACAGAGCTTTACCAGAGCACAGCGCTACCAAATATATCAAATGAAAAGATCATATTGATAATTTTGTGCTCAACTACAATATATAGGTTTGATTTGGCGGAAGTTATCGGAGCCTCTTGCCCCAATTTTTGAGTATAATTGATGGCTTAAAAATCTCTTTTGATTAAATCAGGGTTGATATCGTCTTAAATATATATATATATATATATGTGTGTGTGTGTGTGTGTAATAATAAATAATATATATATATATATATGAGTGTGTGTGTGTGTATGTATATATATATATATATATATGTATATATGTATGTATGCATGTATGTGTTTGTGTATATGTATGTATGTATGTATATATGTATGAATGTATGCAAGTATGAATGTATGAATGTATGAATGTATGTAGATATGTATTTTATGTATGTATACATGTATGTATGTATGTAAGGAAGTATTTATGTATGTAAGTATGTATGTATGTATGTATGTATGTGTGTATGTATGTAATTTTGTATGTCTATATATATAATTATATATATATATATATTTATATATATATATACATGTGTGTGTGTGTGTGTGTTGTGCGTGTGTCTCTGTCTGTGTCTGTACGTGTCTGCGTATGTGCGTGTCTGTGTGTCTGTGTCTTTGTCTGTATCTAAGTGTGTCTGTATGCGTCTGTGTGTGTGTGTGTGACTGTATCTAAGTGTGTCGGTATGCGTTTGTGTGTGTGTGAGTGTGTGTGTGTGTGTGTGTGTCTTTATATGAACTTGCATTTTTTTTACATGTACGTATGTATATGGATATCTACCTGTATATTTATATGTATTTGTAGATTATGTTTAATTATAGGAAAGGACAGGCATAGGCATAAAAGGTGTTGCATAAGCGTAGGTCAGCACACCACTAGTGATTTTCTGCCAGAAGCATTGGTCAACATACCACTAGGGAGCTCGGCCTGGCGAGAATCCCACCACGCATCAAACGCACATATTTTCGGGTGTTGCGAACTCCGGTCTACAACTCTTCAGCACAGAAGCGCAGAGTCATCAACAAGCGACTAAAACAGATGTTTATTCGGCGATTTCTGAACAAGATGTCGTGGTTGTATAATGACGTACGCAAGGGCAATAAAATGAAGATCCAGCCAAACTCAGTTTTACCAGTGAAGCCAAAGTAATCGCCGGATCTGGTAAGTCGATGATTCGCGAGCTGAACAAACATTGAATTGCTGAAGTATTCCGGACCTCCCAGGTCTACGGCGTCTGTCACACGAATGCTAGCATGAGTCAGGTCGAGGTGCGTGGATCACCTGCATTGCTCAACGTGCGCCGGACATACAGGGAAGCAGCTCGTGCTCTAGCTCGACAAGAATGTGCACTTCGATATATTTCGAATGCGTTGGAAACAACATTCTTGGGTCGGACGGACGAGGTGTTAAGGCGCAACTATTGCACGCGCAGGGCCATCTAGCCGATACACACGCACGCACATACACACAAATCATGGGAATTCCCGCGCCAATGAATACCCAACTGTATTCGTTCGCTGCCTACGGGAACGTGCATTGGAGCAGTCGAATTCCTATTGTACTTTGGGCATGTGAATAAATACATTACTGTAAAGTCAAGTTAAAAGTGAATAAACGTACTCGTTTTATACTATTCTTTTCAACGGACCCGATCACAAGCACAGTCGGCGCTACAGTACGGCAGGGCGAGGGTAAATGTGGATGAAAGCGTTTTGCATCACCACATAGGAGAGTCGCATGTGCCGTGTGTAGAACGCACATGTACCTCTATGACCTGCGCGAACTCTTCGGTGAGTGAGCTCAGCCACCAAGTGCATCCGCTCCCCAAGTAAAGCCAGCGATCCTTTCCGGCTGAGTGATCAACGATTGGGTAGGCATCGCTTTCACACAACCATATATATGGTTCGCCTTACCTCCCAAGATCCCCAGAAATTTGTTCAGCACTGGAGGTGGAAAGGTTACTTTCTCCCCAAGCTCTCAGCAACCTGATGCACCGAAGAATGTCTTCAATGTAGCTGTGCGTCGATTTTCGACGTGCACATGTATCATATCGTATACACTGTCTTATACGCACTCGTGCAAGCGATCGTGTGAATTTCCAAGTCTCTACAATTGCATCCAGTAAGGGGCGCTCGAAGCAATCTAAGAGTAGAAAATATACCAGGCAGGCTAGTGTCATTGCCTTTGGGTGGGCTATACATGCTCAACCCACAAGCTTCTCCAAATCTGCCACTCTCTGCGCGATTTTGTCGGTCAGAGGCGCCGTGGTGACTTGTGTACCGTCCTCCTGTTTCTGAGTCACTGTTCTTGTGAACTCCACCACTACCGTGCGTGCGGCGCTGGTGGAATGCAATACAGGGATCACAGTTTCTACGAGATCCAGCACCTGGTCTACCAGTTCCAGCGAGTACGGTGGCCCGATGGTAGACATGATCTCGGCAACCGCGTACCGTTGCAGCGTGTGGTCCAGAGGCGGGTTCTTCACGAGATACTGTATTACCTCGAGCACATACCCGCAGGTCATTATATGTATCATACGATCGATGAGGATCTTCTTCATCTCCATGTTCACGATGGCCTGTAGGCCCAGGTCGGATCGTTCGAATGTGGTGCGCACAAGTTCAAACACCTGCGGACATGTGTGTGGGTGAAACTTGGCCACGCGATCCAGTATTGCCAGGTGGATGGGCACCTGGCCCGTGGAGAAGTTGGAGACAAAATAGTCGGAATCCGCCAGGTTGTCTCTAATCCATTTCAGCACACCAGGCGCCAACACGGGAAACTTCTGCAGATTGTCCAGGATGACTTTCACGGGTTCCGGGTCACTCCACACTATGTACGTTTTCTGGCACACCCCCACAGTCTTCTCTATGGCGTCGGCAGTCGCCTTCACGCGTGGGCTGGTATGGTTGTACCCTCCATTCTCGTCGGTGTGCCCGCTCACCAGCAACGCAAGAAACGAGATGTATGCGCTGCGGTGGGCCGGAAGCAGCTTTTTCTTGGCGTCAAATAGGGTGTCGATGATAATCTCGATCAGCTTGGGTAGTTGTACCAGCTGCAGAGGCGGAGCTTTGGTCTGAGAGTGCTGCGTTGTGGTGTAGGCCTTGTGCAGACGGAGCATATCGGCAGGATTCACCTCTCCTTTCATTAACAGCCCATTAACGGACACGGCTACCTCAGGGTAGAGTGTAGCGCACCCCGTCAGTAGTAGTGATAGATGCAGCACATTGTGCTCGTTGTCTTTTGCGTATTTTTCCACTTCTTGACTCAGCCTACGGAGCGTGTTTCGTTCTCTGGAGTTTCTATCCTCTGTGACCATCAGCTTATGTAGTAACGCCTGTGTAAACAAGTACGTACTGCCGGTGTAGCACGCTGTCTTGACGAAGTCTGCTATGGCTTCCTTCATTGCCGCCGTCTCGGGAGTTGCGGCCCAGCCATTCATGGCAGTCACATCAGCATCTCCATTCTGTTCATGCGTTTCAGGTTTCGCATCTGCACTGGTCCCCATTGATAAGATATGACCCAACTGGTTCACCAGAACACGGCTGAACACCTCGAGATTTCTCGACGCCGTGGCCACATTCAGCATTTCCGACTGGTAGCCGGCATCCGAGATCTTCTGCACCATGTACTTGAGAAAGTACGACTCGTGGTGTCGTTCAGTCAAGTCAGCAATCAACTGTCGCCACTGTGGGTACGAGATCAGTTCCTCCAGCCAGGGTGGGAACTCGTCATCCTTCATCTGGGTCAGGATGGAATCAGCCTCTTTCGAGTTGAAGTACTGCAGAATAAGCCCACGCACATACTCGTCAAATGTCGACTCAATCTCTTCCTGTGGTACCCCGGTGATCATCAACCATTCGCTCATCAGATTAGCCATCTGGGCCAGACCTCTGTAGTTGTTGCTGAGCAGGCCTATAGCATCTGGTGGTGCGCCCCCGCTTCGCAAGTACCCAATAAGCCATTCGGACACCTTCGGTTCCATGAGTGCATCGGTGGTTTTCAAAAGATTAGAATACTCATCTTGCTGTTTAACGCGCTGTAACTCCCTCTCCTCCTGCGTCGAATCGTCGCCGAAATGCTCCTCTCCCAGCATACCTTCATCGTCGTCTGTTGATTGTGCTGGTCCCTCATCGCCGACATACAATCCATCTCCATTGTCGTATATAGCCTCACTATTCTCATACACGACGTCCTCATTCTCGTAGTAGATGGGGTTCCCGTGTTCATCTGTGTCTGGTTCGTACATGCCGCTCTCATTCTCCCCCTCTACACCCTCTAAATGAGACTGATCGTCCATTGCCATGGCATCATCCGTGTTTCCCTCTGCGTGGTATACGCCATCGTCTTGGCCCACATCGCCGGTGTCGGCTTCCGATTCATACACTACACCTTTTGGGTCCATTTCCATCTTGTACTTTAAGCTAAACTAAACTCTGCCTGCCCACCGTATCTGCGGTATATACCAAAGTGCTCGGCTTCCTCTATCTAATATTCTGACGCTGAAACTACAAAGGCGCATGGGTGCGATACCATTTGTGTACATATATGAGGCTGCCTATGTACACCGATTTCTGTGCTATCCACGTCTGTGTATACTTATTAATTCAGTATTTATGTTCAATTTTCAGAAGGCGATAGTATTTAACACAAATACATGCAATTTACTGATTCTATTCACAATTGCCGCCCCGGTGTTTTAAACAAATCAAAAAACATACCTTCACCGGGCTTCAGGCCTTCAACTGTATTTATTTATTTATAACCGTTTCCTACCGTAATATAAATATGTATTACATAATATATTCGCTAGAGATATTTTTTTAAATAAGTTGCGTACAGATGTCGGATGCAGGCCGTCGAGCAGGTTTAGCCGCTCTTGTCCGCTTTGCCACTGCAACTTCGACGAGTACATTGGCAGACAATACTGTCGATACCAAAAGCCAATCTCTTAGCACAATAGAGAAAGAAAATGCGACCGAGGTGAATAAGAATCAGCCCGAGGAAGGGAACACAGAAGTTGGCGAAGCAAGACACAAGCAAAAGGCAGACAGTAATAGCAATACAAACATAACAGTAGGAAAGATTGTGGAAATGAATAGTGGCACAAATTGCGCTATTGATCTGACGGAGAGTTCGGACGAGGATGCAAAAGATAGTGGCGTCCATTTATCAGACAAAGTTACTGCTAACAATCATGTTGGGAATAGTAAAAGGCCTGGCACCCCAAGCATTGCGGTAGAATATAGGAAGAAGGATACTAAAGGTAGTACAAAACGATCATTGGCAGAGAGTCCGAATAATGCTAGTATGAAGAAGCAAAGAAATTGCGGGAGTGGTTCGAAACCGGCCACAAATCAGGCCTCTGTGTATAACAACATAGAAGTCGCCCAACCCTCCGCCAAAACGCACGAACTGGTATGGGCGAGAAAGTGGACGACACCAGAATCATGCAACGCCAATAACTTCGAGGTCTGTCATATCATAGTCTTCGTTTTTCCGTGTTGATTGTAAATACTCGATGCTGTTATGTATAATATATATATATTTATATATATGTGTGTGTGTGTGTGTGTTCGATGCTGCTATGTGGTATATGTATATATATATATATATATATATATATATGTGTGTGTGTGTGTGTGTGTGTGT